CTCATCGCTCCCTACAACTGCCTGAGAGGAGGGGGGAGCCGGGGGGGTCGGGCTCTGTTCCCAGGGAGCGGGCAATGGGATGGGGGGCAATGGCCTCAAGTTGTGCCAGGGCAGGGTGAGGTTGGCCATGGGGAACCCTTCCCAGGGAGGGGGTCGAGTCCCCAGCCCTGGGGGGATTTAACAGCCGGGCAGACGAGGTGCTGAGGGCCAGGGTTTAGTGGTGGGATGGCAGATGTAGGGGAACGGTTGGACTTGATGATCTTAAAGGTTTTTTCCAATCCAAACGATTCCATGATTCTATGATTACCCAAAACTTCTCTTTTGAAGTATTCCCTGGCGTGGAAAAATGAGCGGGAGCAATTTTCCTTCCTTCTCTGTTCTCGCCCTTTGCACACAGTAGAGGGAGCTCTTGGCCATCCACCGTTCGTCACACTAACGGAACAACTGGTCGACCTGCAGGCACCTTGCGGGCTTGCAGAGGAAGAGTTCGCCATCCCTCCCCCATCCTCCAGGACTTCATAAACACGAATAAATTTTGGAAGAACACCAGCAGGCTCGGAATTCCTGGCACACAACGAAGGGAGCAGAGCTCCACTGGGGTGGAAAAAAACCCGCAGCGGGCTTGAGTTTCATGTTCTGAACCCCAACACCAAGTGCTGCTGGTTAATGCTCGTTCCCCATTTCCCCTCTTCTGAGGAACAAGTCAGACTTGCTTTTTTTCTTTCGAGGAAGCTGGGGACCATCCCTCCCAGAAAGGGAGATCTCACCTGGAGCCCTGCGTCCAGCTCTGGAGCCCTCAGCACATGAAGAGCATGGACCTGTTGGAGCGGGGCCAGAGGAGGGCCACAAAAATGATCTGAGGGCTGGAGCCCCTCTGCTATGAGGCCAGGCTGGGAGAGTTGGGGGTGTTCAGCCTGGAGAAGAGAAGGCTGCGGGCAGAGCTGAGTGTGGCCAGTCAGGGCTTAAAGGGGGCCCAGAGGCAAGGGGGGGACAAGCTTTTTAGCAGGGCCGGGCGGCACAGGGGAAGGGGGGGGGGG